TATCATAAGGAATTTATACGACGGATTACACTGCAAAGTTATGAATGAACGACAATTGACAGATGTATTTCAAGTAAAGACTGGAGTTAGACAAGGCTGTCTACTCTCATCCTTTTTCTTTCTACTGGTGGTCAATTGGACTATGAAAACCTCGACATCTGAGAGGGAACACGGAATACAATGGACAACTCGGAATCAATTAGAAGATTCGAACTTCACAGATGACCTGGCCGTTCTATCCTATACACACAAAAAATGCAGATGAAGACAACTAGTGTAGCAACAACCTCTGTATCCATAGGCCTCAACATACACGAGGGAAAAACTAAAATCCTCAAATACAACACGGAGGATAGCAACCGAATCACACTTGATGGAGAAGCTCTGGAATATGTAGAATTTTTCACGTACGCCGGAAGCATCATCGATGAACAAGGAAGATCCGATACAGACGTCAAGGTGAGGGTTGGCGAAGCAAGGGCCGCATTCCTACAATCGAAGGACATATGGAACTCAAAACAACTGTCAAGCAACACCAAAGTCACAATCTTCAATACGAATGTCAAGACGGTTCTATTGTATGGAACTAAAACTTTGAGAACTACCACAACCATCATCAAAGAAGTAAACGTATTTACAAACAATTATCTACGCAACATACTGAATGTTCGTTGACCTGACACCATCAGCAACTGTCTACTGTAGGAGAGAGCAAACCAGCATCCACTCATCCACCAACCATCCATACATTACAGAATCCTCCAAACTGCATCACGAGGCAAGCCCTAACTTGAAACCCTGAAGGGAAGCAGAAAAGAGGAAGGCCGAAGAACACATTATGTTGGGAATTAGAAGCAGACATGAGAAAGATGAATAGCAACTGGAATGAACTGGAAAGTATTGTCCAGGACAGAGTTGGATGGAGAATGCCGATGGACGGCCTATGCTCTTCCACCAGGAGCAACAGGTGTAAATAAGTATGTCGTGATTTTAAGGTAACACAGAACTAGACAGTTATTGTGACCTAGTTTGAGATTCTTCAATTCTGTACACTAAAGATCTCATATGGGATCGGATCCAACGCCTTTCTTTTCTGATGAAATCATAATTTTTTTTATATAGTTGAGTCTAAGATTGATAGTTCACATTTCCAACTTTAAGTAACTTGTTATCGATCATCGTCACGCTACTGAAAAAATTAAAATTCAACCGCTGAAACTGCTTAAATGAAATTATTCTATCGGTAACCATCGATTTCATTACCAATCTTTGAGTTATATCCAAAAGTATTTTTGATTATTGAGCGAGCCAATTTGATTTTAATTCTGTTAACGTATGTTGGTAGGTGTAAAATCTGTTGGTTTTGTAAAAAAATTTCCATGTTTTCTAATTTAATGCTGTTATATTCTATCTGACTGTAAATATCCACCGGCTCTAGTAGGGTATGACCTCTGAAACCTATCAGTTTATTGCAAATATTTTCATATATAAAACAAACCGTTAATTATTCAAATAAATAAACTAATAACATTGTATTTTGAAAATGCAATGGTTTTATGTTTTTGACAAGACTTACTTACTTATTTACTTACGCCTGTTACTCCTAATGGAGCATAGGCCGCCAACCAGCATTCTCCAACCTACTTACACATATTCATATGCATGTACAAATATAAATACAAATCTGTCAATGAGCAAGCTTTGTCAAACATAAAAAATTTTCATAAATTCTTATCAATATCTTTTAATTAATGCTTTTTAAATGTAAACCAAATTGTAGTCATTCCTATGACTTATACTTGTTTACACTAAACGACATAACGCCAATAATATTTTCTTGATACAAAAAAATTACTTTCAGGTTTCACTGAGTACAAGGACAAAATCAAAATTTGAACAAAACAGAAAACTAAACAGCTTTCTGATAATGTGTTTAGTAATTTTAATCATTTATTTCCCTCTCTCTCTTCTAATCGTCCTACACTGACGTTAAATTGTAGCTACCTAATACATAGATGATATAAATAACAATGGGCAGTATTGTTTGATCGTTTTACAAATGAATGCATGGACATTGTAAATTATTACTTCAGGGGACGAAAATAAAACTCCCGAAGATCTATAATGTTGGTTGAACTTCTTAGTTTACATCATGAAATGGTTTCTGTTAGACAACTATTGGAAACTAAAAAGAATTTGGTAGCTATTTCATCTTGGTATGACACTCTTTGGAAGAAGGCATTCAAGAATCTTTCGTTGATTGAAACTAGGACCATCAGGTCTCATGGAAGAAGCTTAACTTTGGGAATTTTGAGCCATTTATTGTCAATTTTGAACTGATTGATGGAATCGCGCATCTTAAGAATTAAGATCAATCTATGGTGTTGTTGATGGTGCTATAAATTTAAATACAACACAAAATAAAACATGCACGTTTTTAGGTTTAATGCTGAGTTAACAGTCAAACTGGAAATAAATTGGCATATTTAACTATATGATATCGTTATTAAATTACTTGCACTCGATGCGAATAATTCTGTGAAGCAATTCAGTCGTAAATATTTTCATCGTATTTTTCAGCTTTAAATATACAAACTGTCATTCTACCTGATTCATAACAGGTTTCCTTAATTTAGTTTGTAATTTATTGAATTATTCCATAATTGAAATTCTTGACTGAATTTAGGTCATTCTTACAATTGAATGATCACTGTATAGTGACCAATGTCATATGTGTCATGTTCTGCTTAATACAGATCAATTTTAAATTCTCTGACTGTGAAGCGTGGTGACATGTTATTGAATCCATTAGGGGGGCATCAGTTTCCACAAGATTACATGCATAGATTACTGACGAGTGATAAATAACACGAAACTCAGGGTTCCTTGTCGACAACCTCCGACCACCACATCAGATTAGTCGTAGTTGATAATATATGTATCCTTCGCTGATTATCTCATTATAGCCAATTTTCAGAATAGCCAGCAGCTTATAAGTCCCGAATAGAAAAGAAAAAAACATTTCGGATTCCACTAATAACCACATTCCATCTATTGTACTAAGTGAGTTGTCAAATTTAGCGTTTAGTCAAATATAAAAGACGACTATATTTTGTTTGTTTGTTGTTTCTGTTTAATTTTATCTTACCATTATTTTAGTCACTATTCACTAGATATTCTTCTTTCTTTGTGAGTTAAGTGTTCCTCCAGTAAACTCAAAGTAGAAATCTCTTATGAATTTTATGTTTAGGTTTTATGATCTAAAATATTTGTCATTACGTATAGTTGAAGGACTTCGAAATTCATATTTCATAGAATGGATTGAAAAATATTCTCCTCAAGTCGAAAAGTGCTCAGTACATTGAATCAGTTGCTTATTTAAGTTTCATACTAGTTGTTTACTGCGTTTACTGTGGCTAGTCAAACAAACCACTAGTTTGATCATCATTTTTTGTGTGTTATCGTGGGTGAAAATATTTTACAGAAATTCGAGGTGCCATACTTAAACAATAAAACTCAGCTTGACAACTGATTTGTAATGACATATATCGAGAGGTCAACAGATGCCGTAAAAAACAAAACACGTCACATGTATTCACACAGAACCTTGCTCGAATATAGACAAACATTTAAAAAAATGGTCTAGAGGTTGAGCGTTCGCATGCAAGACTGATAGATCTTGGGTTCAGATCCCGCGGGGACAAAACGATCGTTTAGAGTTTTCAAGTTTTCCAAAATGGTCAAGCTTCAATTATCTCATCATCTCAACTATTAAAGATATAACTCTTGTTATGGTCATTTAAAATGCTTTATAACGAAAACACTATATCTGTATATCGATAAATACAAACTAATCGTAGCCTTATAAGAAGCACAACTTATTAACAATGAGTACAGTGATGATTAACTTAATTAAGCCAGAAGACTAGTAAAATATTGATTATACTACTGAGTTGTTGTATATAATTTAAGATAGAGATATTTATCAACATGAGTAGTGATACATTTCACTTCAAAAATGTATGAAAGATATAGATTATAAGATTCAAGTCGGATTATAATATATTCCAAATCAACTATCTGCTAGTCTCCATATTATCAATAACAAATACTTTTGTTATCATTTAATCAAATTACTAAGTACGAACAATATGATTATTATAAATTTACATTACGTAACAGTAGAGTAGCAAAATGACTACCAGAGATTAATCAAACAATCGAAGATTTGAATATAAAGAAAGAAAATCATCCAGTACGAATTGTATATTCATAATTTGAAATATTCCCATATTCACATGTTCATTACAATAGTTTGATAGTAATAATATAGTATATGATATATATATTCCTATATGGTTTACCGAAAGTTCACAAGACAGGTCTACATCTTCGCCCAGTTCTAGATATGTATAATTCACCTTATTATAAAACTGCAAAGTGTTTAGTTTGAATTTTAAATCCCTTATACAAATTAGTCATCAACAGAAGCGTGAAAGATGTCTTTGATTTTATTTCGAAAATGGAAGATATGAACTTAAATGGGAACTAGATGACATCTTAAGATGTTGCTTCCCTATTCACCAATATTCATAATTTTTCAAATGAAACAATGACAAACAAGCAAACAAAGAAAAAATTACTCATTTTTTTCTAATAATAATTCAATATAAAATAAAAATTATGTAAATTATTTAATTCTTTCAATCATGATACTGTTTTTTTTGTTTAAAATCAAATGATATATATATATATATATATTACTTCTACAAAATGAAAAAAACATACATTGTACAGTGAACATAACCATTTGTTTAAATGTGCAAAACAAAAAAATAAATCAAAAATATCGTTTTTTTTAAATGAACTACTGAATTTTTAATGAATAGAATAAATAGTTATTTTAAAAAATACATGTAATATCCAATATATTACACTTAATAACAATAATAATAATGATAATTACATTCAGACATTTTGTTAATTATAACAATAACGATAGCAACAACAACAAGAACAAGAACAACAATAAAAACAAATTGTGAAAACAGAAGCACACAAAAAAACGGTATAAAGTGTTTTCAATTACATGAATTGCAGGTTTCATTCTCTATTGGAACTAATCTTGTTTTCATAAGAATGTTTGGGTTTTTTTAAATAATAATTAGCTGGTTTTACAAAATTTAATCGTTTGTTGTTTATTTGTTTGTCTACTTTTTTTCAATATGACAATGAATATCGAATTACATTTAAACAACCAAACATGAATGAATGAAATTGTATTTTGTATTAGAAATTAATCAACAAGTATTTGAAATACAATAGAACCTTCATTTGAATGAATATTAACATGAATATTTTTAGCTAATGCATAACATTTTATCCATATAATAACATGACGTTTAGGATTAAGAAAATGTACAAATACTAATGGTGATTGATAACCAGCTTGATTTAAATAAGGATAAAACATTGAATCATAAATACCATAATTTTTATAACACCAATCTATATCATTATTTAATGAATGATATTGTTTTAATGAATCACTATCATAATAACATATTTTACCTAAATAATCTGAATCAAGTTTAGTTAAACCTTCACATTTAAGTAAAATATTAGTATAATTATTTAATGGTATTGGTAACCAACCATAAATTCGATTTAATTTAATAATAAAACATGGTTTACCTTCATAATAACCATAACCATTTTTTAAATTACATGGACCACTTGAATCTAAATTAAAACGACATGGACGTCTCATATTTAATAATTTTGGATTAATTTCACATGATTCAAACATACCACCAATAATATGATATTGATAATAAGATAAAAATCCAGTCATTTCATCTATCATAGATGAATAAGATACAGGATTTGATGTATAAAAATGTATAAGACTTGTTAAGCGATTTGAATTTGGTATTATAGATAAACCTGGATTCAATTTTAATTGATTATGTAATCCAGTTAATTTAGGATAATCAGCTAAGATTGTAAAATAAAATAAACTATACATATAAATAATAAATAAAATACAAATAATGACATAGAAACTAATGTAATAAATTAATTTAATTAAATATTTTCTCCATTGAATTGTATTATAAATAAAATGAATATGATTACGTAACTTCTGTAGAATAAAACATTTAGAGAAACATTGTTTTAACAATGAGTTCTTTCTTGTTTTATATTTTCTTATGGGAATATTGTTACCTTCAATTAACAGACTATCTTCATATATTTTATCACTAAGTATATTCATGACAATAGTTCGATAGTAATAATAAATGAATGAATGAATGAATAGTTCTATTATATGTATATTGTATATGATATATGTTTACTTATTTTGTGTTTCTTTATGGGAATCTGTTTACAAAAATGATATAACATACAGCATATATATTTAGTTTATTTTGTTTATGAATTGTAGAATTGTAAACATTTCTCAATATATTAGGTATGTTTACAAAGGGTTTTTGTGGAGATAGATATGTCTTCTATTTTTCATCTTTATTTCTATGTTCAATCTATAATGTTATGTTGTAAATTTGTGTATGTATATGAGTAACCAAAAAAAATAATGATCGATGCGTGTAGAGAGAGAGAGAGAGAAAGAGAAAGAGATAGATAGAGACAGGGAGACAAAAATTTGTAGCCTAGACATTTTTTGTAAGGACGTAAATTTGTTTTGTTTTTTTTCAAAAAATAAATGAAATAGATAAACTAAACAAAATTGGAGTTTTTATTATTATTTTTTTAAAGTAATCTATATGTTGGAATATATACAATGGTTTATCAGTAATATAGTGTAAATGGTTGTTTATCGGTTCACTATAATTTTTAAACTGTAACTATAAATATATGTTAAGAGAATACATTACGGTAGTTACTAAGTCTTAACTGGTCAACTTAAAGAACCAGTGAGTTTTATTTCTCAAGTTTTTTTGTTTATCTGAACACATATGCATCACACAATAACAATAAGGCCTGTAGTAGTTTTTTTATTTGGACGAGAGATGTGATACTGCCCGGGCGACCAGACTGAAGCAGATGGTTCTCTTAGAGGGGCACACCCGGAGCCTTTGACCTGAAGGTCTAATTGATGAGGCAGTGGAACAATGTCAGAAGATGCTGTCCCACGGTAGCTGGTGAACAATAATAGGTTCATACGCCATCTGTTCCCTCAAGATCCTGGAACCCATATCTGCCATTAGTTTGGAATCAGGATTTTCCAACTCTCAAAGGTGGACAATCCATATTCACCAGCCTTGTTAGAACGCAGGACATTCACTTTAAGTCCTTTCAATTTCGTAAACAACACCCTCACCGCGAGAAGGTAGTGAGTAGGACTACCATGTCAGTAGCTGTATACGCGTATTCATGTGACAGTGTTTTAAGAAGGAGAGAGGACTCTTCTCATCATCTGCAGTATCAGAGCATTTCTCAAGTACCAGAAAAGTTGACAGAAAGTTTCTATAATGTTTCAGATGGGGTTATAGAACTAAGTTTCGATGCAGAAATAATTCGACTAGGTAAAACCCCAGGATCTAGAAAAGATATATATATATATATATATATATATATATATATATATATATATATATATATATATATATATTGGTAGTTAGAAACAAAAGCAAATCATTGAATTTTTTTCGTCTAGCGTATAATAATAGCAATAATAGTGATAATAATAGGGAATGACGTTAACAGTTTATTTATCAGCTATATGAAGTAATAGTGCGGTACGTGCTACTTATATTGATATAAGTAGTATATGACGCGAGTTAGAAACTTAATGTCTGGCAGCAGAAGATGGGAGAAGATCAAGAAAGGAAGAGCAGGAACATAATGCAATTTGTAAGAAAAAGCATGACAATGAAATGTGAGACAATGGATTGATGTTTGCAATAGGAACAGTCCGGTTTGATATGATGGATTAATATTTTGCAAATTAACGATTTAGTGTAGTGTTTTTCTATTTCAGTAAGTAACTCTGTAATTTTGTGTAAGATATATTCGGCTGTCCCCACTGGTTTTATTGTTCACTACAATATTAGATAAAGCGTAATCCTTAACATAACAAACATCAGTAATAATATAAATAAAAGAGAAAAACACTAAAAGCTTATCAGCTACATATTTGGCTTTCTCTTATGTGATTGAAACGACTTTTTTTCTGAATATTACCAGACAAATATATTTTCATTGAATAACTAACTAAGTAACTAACTAATATGCTAATTCATAGTTGTTATTAGTCCCTATTTTAACAAGCAAAACAAAACGTTTTTTTATTAGGTAATATAAAATGAAAGATGAAGTTTACTTATTTGTACTTTAAATAATCATTTAATATATGAAGATAGTTTGTTTTTTTACCATTTGTGAATATCAATGAAAGAAAACTAACAAAATGAAAACGGTGATGAAGTTTTATTCTCTGAATTGAAGGGTTTGATCTTGGAACTTTTATTGTTCTTCTGAATGATATCATCAGCATAAACTTCAGATAGAAGTGAAGTAGTTGAATTTCTCCACATATAGCTCACAGCTTGTTTTGTAGACCTTGGTGTTGATTGGTTCTTAGTTTTGCGACTAATAAGAAATGTAAACCTATACAATATAGAATTAAGGATTATTAGTATTTACGCAGCGCAGCCTATATGAGAGTATTTAATGTTTGATATATATATATATATATATATATATATATATATATATATATATATATATATATATATATCACATTTTCACCGAATCTATTTGTATAATACGATTTATCAGACTAGATTAAATTTAAATGATGCAGTATATAATTGGTTAACATTGATAAAACACAAAATAAATGCTAATCCTTTCTGTATTAAATTCACTTAGTGTTGTTTGTTTGTATCTTCCCATTGTTGTTTAGGACTGAAATTGACTAGTCTCTTGTTGGCATATGTGCATACTGTGCGAACTGCCTCGATATTGCTTTACGTCGTAAGCTTTATAAGCAGAGATGGATAAAGTATAGCAGTGGAATCCCGAACGCGTGTTTCGTCCTATTTGGTACTAGTCATCTGGATGTATCTCCATCTCAAAGAGTTGATGTTCACTCTGGAACTCATTACACAAGCAGGTGGCTATCAGGACTCATTAGCTAAATGGATAACGCGATATAGTTTGAAGCTTGTAGTACTGTGTCCGAGTCGCAAAGTGAACATCAACTCTGAGATGCAGGTACATCCAGGTGACGAGTTCCAAATAGAACGAAATGCATGTCCTGGATTCCACTGCTATCCACCATCCATCTTTGTTTATAAACCTTTATATATTAGTTAATAAATAGATCAAGTGAATTTTCAGAATACTTATTAAGAATGTTGACTGGATAATTGATAAAAATAACCAGGAGTCAGAAATCTAACGTCCATGTAAAACGTAGAATATATAATGTAAACATTTTTAACTGAATAAGAGTTTTTTTTAAAGTCTATGCTTATAGAGAAAAATGATGGTTTACACGTATTGATCATATTATTTTGTACATTAAATATTGTTAATTGAAGGAATATTATGCGAATGAAGAGAGTTGTAGAAAGCCCTGGAATTGAAAGGTTTCTATATGCATTTCTTAAGGAAATGTTAATCTTGGAAAGAAACTCAAACATATTCTATCAACTATAATAGATTAATGTGTTACCATCATTCTACTTAAGTTACGAATATCACTTTGTAGAAATAAGTTATCGGCGAGTCATAATTACTGTCATGTTCTTTAATCTTTAGTGATCTTATAATTCTAACTAATAAATTACCATGTGACTACCATATTAAGCGAATCGATTTCATGATACCTTTTACTTACTGTTACATGTTTGAATGCCCTGGAATCAAGTTTCATTGTTGTTGGCACTCTTCACAGAGTTGGTTTATAAAATATTAGAAATTAAATAAAACATTTTAGCTTCTTGAAACGAAGATAATGAATTTTAGTCAAAACATTTGAAGTGTTTATATGCTTCAAATATACGAATAGATAATTATATACACGTAGGATATTAGTTCAAACCGATTCAATTTACAAATTCTCCCCATTCGATTTCTTATATTAATCAAGATCAATCCATTAACAAATTGTTCTTTTGAAAATTATTTGATTCAGAAATTCGATTACAAAAAATGACGCACAAAATATGTCTGAAAAGTCAACTTAATTTCTACTAATTTAATTTAAAACATGTAACAAATTTAGTAGCAGATTTTCAGCCCCCAAATGCCCTGGTATGGCCGAAAGTGGGGTGGGCCCGCCCTCCCTCTCGAAATACTCTTACACGGCCACGCGTATATAGTCTCTACCAGGGAAGTCCTACTCACTGTCTTCTCGTGGCATTACTGTTGTTTACGAAAATGAGAGGACGAAAAGCGAATGTCCGACGCTTCAACCGGATCCCAAATCAATGGTGCACATGGGCTCCAGTATCCTGCGGGAACAAATGGCGTATTAACCAATCGTTGGTCACCGGCCACCATGGGACTGCATCTCCTTATGATGCTCCACTGCCTTGTGGGTTAGACCTTCAGGTCGAAGGCTCGGGGTGTGGCCCCCTAAGAAGACCACTTGCTTCGGTCTGGGCACCCGGGCAGTATCCCAGCCCACACACAAACAGAATGAAATGACTTTGTGTGGCGCATATATATATATATATATATATATATATATATATATATATATATATATATATATATATATATGGTGCCCTCTTGTACCAATATTTGTGTTCAAATACATAAATAAAGCAGATTTTCAGGATAATACACATCTAACAAATAATAAATAAATTCGATTTTTTTTTCTCTCTAGATACTATTGTCATGATGTCCTTGATCTTAGTTAATTAACTTTATGTTTGTTCTGAAGCTGTATATTGGTTTCGATTACGTAACGTTATGGTGTTAATTTATTGAACAAGTATTAGAACTTGGAAATTCCTTCAATTTAGTGAAACTACATAACTTTCAATC